GTAGTCAGATAATTAAGCGCAGTGTTGAATATTGGCGATATCCCCTAGGTAACTTACCGCTGCAGCTGTAACACCCAAAGGGCCTTAACCAAATATATCGTTTTATGCATGACCTCATAACAAGTTATTGCCCCTTAAAGGTTCTCAAACAGCAAACATCTGACGCAGAACAACTTATAAGTTTCCCCTTAAAAAATGTCTCTGGCACGATACGTTGTGTTCACAGCTAGGCTGAGATCTTTTCGCGTTTCCACTCACTATATTCAGTGTAAGCAGACGCCTAATAAGAAGCCTTTTATGGTATGTGTATTAGGCGGGCTGTGGGTCTATTCTCTAATTACCCTCCCCCCCCCCCCCCACTATGGAACGGGTAATCCACATGCGGGAACTGAAATGACACGAACAATGAAGTGAATATTAGGATCCTTAGCAGCACAAGACTAGGATACTTAGGGCTAGTGTAGCCACAACGAGCCCATGATTGTAGTGATACATAACATCTGAATTGTGGTGCTTGGGAATCTTCCAGGGGCAATTACTTGTGAATATGTATGACAAGATAGACATGGTTACAGCCCTCAGAGAGTTCAAGTAAACTTTCAAGTAGAACAAGGAGCCATTGTAGTGTAGTGGTTGACTGTATGATGATGGGTTTGTAAAATATAGGTCTAGCCCTATATGCCCAATTAGCAAGAAAGCATGAAAAATGGTTTTTAAGTAGAACTAATTGCTAAGGAGCTAACAGATTATAGTGGCCTAACAATAACTTCTGTAAAGACCGAAGGTGATATCTGCTCAGTTGGCTTGCCATCCGGAATGAGATTTTGTAATCTCAGAGCGGCAGTGCTTTATGAAGCAACTCGGAGGGGGCAAACATAACAGAGATGGAATCATTATTAATTCCTACAACTCGCTTATCTTCTCTTTCTAATGTTCAATTTTTAGGCAACTTTTGCGGTGTTAGTGTAAAGACATGTTATGGTGAGTACCGGAGGCAGTGTAGTGGTGAGACTCTCATCTGATGATGTGAAGGTCGTGTGTTTGAGTCTGAACATAAATGTTCTATTTTTAAGTAGGTTTTTCCATTTTTTTTACATGTACTAGATTTAAATGCGCAGTTTCACCTGGAATAGTGAAAGAAAGTCTTATTTTCTGTCCTCTACTTCATTTTGGTTTCCACCGCTGCCGTATATGTAGGCTTAGTGGAAATAGGGGTCGAACTAAAACCTTGTATTTAATATACAGGCTCTGTACCACTTGGTGGTGAACTGATGTATGACAAGCTAGATATTGTGAGGGCCCTCTAGGAACGAGTGAAAAGTGCGGAGATGCAGATAGATCATTACGGTCTGAGGAGAATGGCGCTGCGAGGAGTTACCAGAAGATCTGGCCGACGCTCAACACTCAGGGGAAGGATGAGTCGGATATATAATCAGATGGTTACTGGTGTCATTGAAATTGAAACTTCGCTTGTTGCTAAAGCTGGGGGACGAAGTACTTGTGCGAGTGTCCTGAGTGCTGTGATGACAATTCTTAATTTAACATTCAAGTACACCCCAGGCATCTCCCTGTAATACTAACACCAGTATTTAACAATGAGGGAGACAGATAAATGTATTGCTCAGGATCCCTTATAAATCTGACTAGGGTGGGGGATAGGCTTTAGGGTCCCATGCCTTCTTTAAGTGCTTAATAATAATACTCTGAATGCTCAAAAAATGCATTTGAAATAATCTATACTATAGTAGTAGTAGATTTTACCCCACTAGGACATCACACAAGAGATAAACACCTGATGACACAAAGTGCCACCATATGGATGAGGATCACCCGTGGAGAGGTACCCGTTGCAGATGATACAGTATTAATAGTTGAAAACGCAGAAGACCTACAACAACTATTAGACATTGTGGTAAAAGAGTGCAAAAAAAAGGGACTTCCCTTCAAATGTCAAGAAAACAGAAGCCATGGTTATATAAAAAAAGAAAACTCCAAAATGTGACATAGCAATAGAAGGGAAAGTCAAATTCAATTATTTGCGGACAGTTATAAAATCTAGACGGATGATGTGTGACATAAATTAATAAGCAGAATTATCCAGACAAGCAGCATTTTAGAAGATGAAAAGCGTCTTATGTAATAAATCACTTTCAATAAACAAACAAAAAAAAAGCTGAAATGTTATATCGAGTTGTTCTATAGTATGGTAGTGAATTTTGGAATGTGAGCAAACTAAGAAGAGGTTTGAAGGCAACAGGTGTGGCTCTCGAGAAGAATATTGCAGCAATTACCTTGGACTACCAGAATAACAATGACTGCCTGGAAATGGCTAATCAAAGTAGAACTATACAACAATAAGAAAGAGACAAAGTTCTTTGGTCATGTGACGAGAATAGGAGCTCTAGAAAATATCGTGATGATTGGAAAGATCATTGGTAAAAGAGGCTGACCATAAGAAATGGTGGATGGCTTTAGACAATAGCATGCAGGAATATCATCAGCGGAATTGATTCAGAACACCAGACAGATCTGTGGAGAAGCAGGAATGCCTATGCTAGCTGGCAAGGTACTTTGTTTTATTAAGAACTCAAAGGCATGGGATCCTGAAGCCTATCCCCCAACCTAGTCAGATTTGTAAAGGGACCTGAGCAAACCCCCCCCCCCCCCCCCACCTTTTCTTTGTGTCTGCATCCACAGTAATTTTGTTTAATTATAAGGACAATACAGTTTAGAAACTGGACACAGGTAAAATGCACAAACAATACAGAAGGGAAAAAAAAAATCAGGCTTGGATAAAAATCGAAGAAATTAAAGCAGAGAGAAAACTACTTGGATAAAATTCAAACAAAACAGGACAGCTTGGCTAAGGTAACAAGTACTGAAAGGAAAACATCCAGTGAAAACATTTAAAGGCACAACACTGAAAACAAAATATACTTTAATTTTTATTTACAAAACAAAAAAACATTTCTTACAGGCAATGTTGGCAGAATGAGGATGCTGTGAGCAAATGTATCAACTTGGTAATAGTGAAGTTCCAAAAATGCTATTATTTCTCTGAGGTGGGACTTTCCTGTGCGAGACTTGCAGACGACCAGCGGGATATTAACACTGTATGAGGACTTTTAAATGCCAGTGCTTTCTCTAAATCTTCAAAAGCCCCTTTAATCTTCTTTAACTTCTTCACAAGAGAATCCACAACCTCAGCCCATTTCTTGACCGCGTCGCTTTGTTTCCAACCCAGAAGCTTTTCACAGCAGTGAATGAGAATATACTCGACAATGAATGCATGTTCAGCAATCTCCCAGTATAAACTTCTATAACACGAGTCCCTAGCCAATGACTAACCGCACCTCAGTTACCCTTGGTTTGGGTGGGTTCTCATACAAGTAATCACTCCAAAGAAATTTAAAACACAAACCATTCCACTTGCAGACCAACCAACCTTTACTGTGGAAGACGGCACTTTAATTTAACCAAATACTATGCCACCTAAGTTTAACTCAACTGTCTCACAGAAAGAAAGAAAAGCCTCCAATTAAATAAGTCACTTTAACAAATGTCTTGTTTATAACAGGCACAGCGTTCCTGAATGCTAATAGGATTACACCTCATATGTGATTATTTTCCATGTGTGCTCCATCAATTGAAATCATTTTAACATATTTCTCAACTAGCCTTGCCTTGGCAATGCGCCCCCGGGTAGCAAACAAGAAAACTGTTCTAGTTTTAATGTACTCCCATACCATGTCATCACCCGTTTTAGCCAGTTATTGACACAGTCCATTTTACAATGACCTCCCAAGTTTGCCTGTGATAACTTTTCAAAAGTTCTTACCCGGCTCTAATGAAGGATTATTAACCCGCCCCCCCCCCCAGATTAATAAATGATAAATTATCGCAGAATTATATTCATCTATGAAAGTAATTCACAAGTTTCTACCTGCCTGACTCAGTGGTTTTAAAATTATGTGTGGTCATCATGGCTCTGCTAGAGGCCAAGCTCTGTGGGAAGGAAAAGTTCAAAGTTAATTGAAACAGACAGTAACATCACCGGCACTGGACAACAGGTTTCTTCGTAATCATGTTATGGTGTCCCAATCAAGAGGCAAATGATTTTAATTAAACATAAAAAGGACTACAACAACCCAATTCACAAATTAAACTGCACAAAACAGAAACCAGCTGCATGGTACACAACAAATATTTGCTATCACAGAACATAAATGTTCTAAGATATCTGCAGGCCCAGGAATCTCAATAAGAAAGAAAAAAAATCATGAATTGCATGTGATCTGGCACTGGTTTGTATGAAGGAAAAAAAAAAAGCTAAACAGCAGTACTGATAAGGAAAGCTTTGTTGATAGAGCCTAGAAAGGTAGGTAGGTAAGTTGTACCCCACCAGGACATCACATAATGAATACCCAGTGACACAAAGTGCCACCATGTGGATGAGGATCACCCATGGAGAGATCCCAGAAACTTGCCATTAGGCCATCATTATTGCCAGCTATATTGTAGGGCTCCCAGCAAAAGCCAGTGTGGGGGCTTCAAATAAAAAAAATTGCATCCCACATGGGGACGACTGACAACAGAGCTTAGCAAGAAAATAAACAGCAAATAAGTCAAAATGTTTTAGGAAAAAGTGAGTGGTCACAAAACATTGGTGCTGCCTCCACAAATAGAAGTTGGCAGCAGTACAAAATGGCTGTGCTATGAGCTGACTAAATGGTTTCTGCTTCACTATGAGATAAAATGGTAGATAAACACTAAACAAAATAGCTACCTAGCATTAGACTGTTTAACACTGACAAACTACCAAAGACAAATCAACATAAGCATTACAACATTTGAAATCACGAATGAAGGTAGCATTAGCTACTTTCAGAAGTGTTGAATGTTTTGAACATGACTGGTACATGTGGGCTTGTGCAACATGGATCTGAGGAACACAAAATTTGATCAGGCTACTGCAATTTTTTTAAACAAAATTATGTAGTTCATAAAGGTACCACTCGTTTGCCCTCAGTATCATCCATGAAGAGTACACTGAAGATGTCATTCACAAAGGAAGGATGATATTTGCAGGCTCTTGCACAGTCTGGACCAAAGTTCACTTCCAGAATTGTGGGCTGCACACGTTCTCCTGCAATCAGTAGTTAACAATATATAAATTATTGGGTGTTGAACACCACCGAAGAAGACAAGGTGGAGTTTAATAAAAAATAAAAAAAATACATAAGACAAACAATGCTAGAAGCAAACAGAATTTGAACCAGTCACATTCTAGTAATGATGTAAACTCATATGTGACAAGTGTACAATACAGGACCTAGAGAAACAAACAGCTGGCAAACCCTTGAGGCTGTGTAGACAAGTATGACAAACAAATTAACCTGTACTGACTGGCAGTCACAGACAGAGTAGACACAGGAGAAGACACTACACAACATACAAATTAAAAGCTATGTTATCAAACCAGAAAATGAACATGTTAACTCCAAATGATGACTCTTCACTGCAGGATTCATGACAATCTTGACACTTAAAAAGGTAACATTAGCCAGGTGCAATGGATACCGCCCCAAAGTGGGAATTTCCAGAAATGAAAGAGCTGACAGACTAGTTAAGGAATGTGAAACTGAAGAACAACCTAATGCACCAGTCTCTACAGAAGAAGAGAATAATCAAGTCAATCATAAAGCCACCAAAACTGGCATAAGACGATGCCATATTATGGAGAGACCAGAGCAGGTCATTATTCTATGCCTTAAAACAGGGCCCAGTTGACTTCACAGCTACATGCACACAAAATTTAAGACTGGCGAAACAGCCATGTGCGCATGAGTGAAATCGGAGACAACAAATCATGTCATCCAAGGCTGTCCCAAATACAACATTTCCAAGCAAAACTTCTGACCAAAAGAGATGCTGGTGTAAGCCAAACTGTATGGGCCACTAAGTGAATGATGAAAGTTGGTGAAGTTCATACTAGAGACAGCACTGCAGATATAGATAACTTAATTTCAAGTGAACGAAAGAAGATTAGCTAGGTCTATCACACACACATACCAACAACTTTAGTATATGGACATAATTCATATCCAACCATTTAAAAAGCAACAAAAGTTAAATTTACATTAACCATGGACAGGTCAAACATACAATCACACAGGACAATGATACTGCGTCAAGTATACAACAAACACAAAGAATTGGTCTGTTTCATTCTGCAGTACTTAAAACGCATTAAAAGGCTGGGGAAACTTAACTTACCGTCTACATATTTCTACAAGCCCCAATAAATATACATTTATTTCTAATACAGAATCTAGTTCCAAAACCTGTAATGTGAGGATGCACTGAACCATGACCACCTAGTAATACCCCAAAATTCCCCACTACAGATGAAAAAAGTGATCTCTATGCATTTTCGCTATAACACCACTGCGGGAAAATAACATTTTACTGTACAGTAAATCTGCAGTCATGTGCTATTAATGGTGGCAGGACTATGGCATGTACACCAGCTAGTCAAATCTCCAGTACCAGTGTCAGTGACTTCAATCCTAAAAATGAGCTTATGTCAAATTCAAGACATGACATCATTGGCACGTCAACATCTGTTGGATTTGAGGATGTGTTGAGTTTAGTTGAGTCAAGAACTGACATCACAGCACTCGGGGTATTCCCATGCATGCTCCGGCCTCATCCTCAGCAGCCAGTGCAAAGTTCCAATACTGATGGTACCGGTCACAATCTGGTTATATGTCTGTCATGCCTTTCCTCAGTGTAGTGAGCCAGCTAGACCCTCTGGTTACACCCAGATGCCTCATTCTCTCCAGGCCATAATAATCTTTCTCTACTGATTCCGTTGAAATTTGAGGATGTAGATCAGGCCACTGTGAACAAGAGCTCGCTAACAATCTTCTTGAAATGGAAAACAAGAGGGAAATTGTTAAAGAGGGTGAGCTTAGCGCTGAACTCAAACACCTTTCTACAGCACAATGTGATGAGATTTCTTCAGCACAATGTGATGAGATTTCTTCAGCACACTGGCAATGCAGTTGAGATAAATGAGCAGAATGATCCAAGCACTGACAAAAGGTGCCAAAGATTCCAATTTCTTTGACTTCCTAAAGAGAACTTTACAGAGAGAAGAATGCTGCCTGTCAGATGAGTATAGGTCATTTAAAAAAAAAAAAATCAACAGTCCATATTGTGACCTTCAAGAGCAGGAAAGTATTCCTGACTCTCTGGAAACAGTTCTTGTAGCATTGTGACTGAAGCCTGCTAGCTTTTAACTTATATACTGTACATTTTTGTGTAATCTTGCAGTCAATGAAGTATTTCATTGTAAAGACCGAAATATTTCCTTACTTTCAAATTACACATATTTTAATGTAATACACATTAAAACCAATTCACTTTATGTGTTCTCATGTTAGGCGATCATTTCTAGGAAAAAATGTATAACAAGGAATACCTGTACTGGTCTTGGAACTTGAAAGGTTTTTTAGTTTGGAGAAGTAAGAAAAGCTATTGACACAGCCACCATGGAGTTGGTACTTTACTGCCAGTGAAAAAGGAAAAGTGTACCAACCTCTCTTCAATCATCAGCATGATGTGCATTGAGATAAGTTGTCATGTTTCAACAGCTCAAATGATCACCACACTTACAGATCAGGTCAGTTTTCCTGTCTTGACCCCAACCATATGGCTGAGCCATCCAGGTATTTTTCCCTTTGCCTTTCTTTTACTCTTTTTACCATCCTTCTCACCAGTTGTTACAAGTTATTAAGTCCAGTTCTTATGAATATGCCCCCCCCCCCCCCCCCCCCACCCCTAAAAATTTCTTGAATCAGTTTAATGTTTGTATCCATCTTCACTACAACAGATGCCATATTTGTTCAAGGTTTGACAACCTGAAGGTCCAAACACTGGACCAGAAATCTTTCAGAAGATTCACAAGCAATTAATTATGGAAATTTATTTCAACTTTACAACTGGAGACAAGAGAGAGAAAACTAACACATACCAGAAGGTTGTTTATCCCAGGCCAGCATGAGATCAACAGCGTACATTGCACGAGACTGTGGAGAGGGGCAGATACCTTTTGGTGGGGGTGCAGAAACTGCAGCCGTAAATAATTCTTTCAGAGCCCTAAAGATGTCATTCTGTTTAAGAAAAGAAAAAGGGGAAAGTTTTAATACAAACAACCATTTTATGCTTTAATACTTTTTTCTTCTTTGTTCATCGGCTATAAGCTCTGGCGGAATGTCCTACTTGTTCATCCATGTTTTGGGCCATGGCCTTAGTTTTGCGTGTACATCCATTTTACTGGTTTTGTGTGCAGCAGATTGTAATATACAGCAGATGTTTAGCACAAGAATACAAAGTGACAGCTCTCCACTAATACTGTCAAGACAATGTGTGATGACCAGCTTCCTTTCTCACAGCCTTGACCTCTCAGAGAAATAAATGGCATCCATATGACAAGGTGGCCATCATCCTAGACGTATGTGGTAGTCTCGTTTTACTATAGATGTATGTGGATGGCTGCTTTCACCCTAGATGTATGTGGATGGCTGCTTTCACCCTAGATGTATGCAGATGGCTGCTTTCACCCTAGATGTATGCGGACGGCTGCTTTCACCCTAGATGTATGCAGATGGCTGCTTTCACCCTAGATGTATGCAGATGGCTGCTTTAACTCTAGATGTATGCAGATGGCTGCTTTCACTCTAAATGTATGCAGATGGCTGCTTTCACCCTAGATGTATGAAGATGGCTGCTTTCACCCTAGATGTATGCAGATGGCTGCTTTCACCCTAGATGTATGCAGATGGCTGCTTTCACCCTAGATGTATGCAGATGGCTGCTTTCACCCTAGACGTATGAAGGTGGCTGCTTTCACTCTAGACGTATGAAGATGGCTGCTTTCACTCTAGATGTATGCTTTCACCCTGGATGTATGAAGATGGCTGCTTTCACTCTAGATGTATGAAGATGGCCGCTTTCACCCTAGATGTATGAAGATGGCCGCTTTCACCCTAGATATATGAAGATGGCTGCTTTCACCCTAGATGTATGAAGATAGCTGCTTTCACCCTAGATGTATGCAGATGGCTGCTTTAACTCTAGATGTATGCAGATGGCTGCTTTCACTCTAAATGTATGCAGATGGCTGCTTTCACTCTAAATGTATGCAGATGGCTGCTTTCACCCTAGATGTATGCAGATGTCTGCTTTCACCCTAGATGTATGCAGATGGCTGCTTTCACCCTAGATGTATGCAGATGGCTGCTTTCACCCTAGATGTATGAAAATGGCTGCTTTCACCCTAGTTGTATGAAGATGGCTGCTTTCACTCTTACATACAGAAAACACCAGTCAACTGTTCAATGACTGACAAAAACTACAAAGTGCATCCCTCTCAATTTCAGCAAAATCATCATCATCCTACTGTCATTATACATCAGAGCTGGCAATCTATTACTCCATTTCGTTTCACCCTCTCAATATGATGGTGGAATCCAGTCAAGATCCTTTGGCCTCTAACATTTGTCTTACAATTTCTTCTGGACATCCCCATGTCCTCAATCCATCTATTTCCCATTTCAGTGATTTTTTGGGGTGATTGTTTCTTATGATGTGCCCAATATGTTGCATCTTTTGTTGTATAAATAATGATACAACTCAAACTTTGCAATCAAATCCATTTAACAAAAATAGCTTATTTGTGAGCAGACTGTTGGTTTCTTGTCTCTCTCACATATGCACTCTGCCTTTGAAGGAAACACCCTTAATCAGTTGTATTTTCAATGATGGGCTTGATAGGGGGCAGTAGTTTATTCTTGTCCCCTCCAAATGGGGCTCTGGAACGCACAGCACTCAAGAGGTCACCATCATGCCCAGAAGTGATGTTCCGTTTTCAAAATGGCGGACAGCAGCTGTGTTTATTTTCGCTGGCTGTCAATTCTCTCGGATTGTTCTGTTTCATAATCATGGACTGCTATTTTATGCGCATTTCCAACGCAGGATATTATGTGTTTTTCGTGGGAACAGCGTGTATTGTGGTTGTGCTGTGTCGGTGCGGGATAATGACCGATAGTTTTGGCAGCCTCGACCACGCTGCCTTCGCAATGTTTTGATCGCGGCGGTCCACTCGGGAAGACAGAATCTCGTCAGCAGGGGACTGCAACTGTCTAGAGAGCAAACTCGATAAAAGCTGTCCCCAGAAACGGAATGTGTCAACCATATATTTGGTGGGGAGGAATCAACACATACGGTTAACTCAATGGCCATGCCCAGAAGTGCAGCTTGCCTACTGAGACAACTGAGTCATCAACTTGCCTACTGAGACAACTGAGTCATCAACTTGCCTACTGAGACAACTGAGTCATCAACTTGCCTACTGAGACAACTGAGTCATCAACTTGCCTACTGAGACAACTGAGTCATCAACTTGCCTACTGAGACAACTGAGTCATCAACTTGCCTACTGAGACAACTGAGTCATCAACTTGCCTACTGAGACAACTGAGTCATCAACTTGCCTACTGAGACAACTGAGTCATCAACTTGCCTACTGAGACAACTGAGTCATCAACTTGCCTACTGAGACAACTGAGTCATCAACTTGCCTACTGAGACAACTGAGTCATCAACAATCTCCATGGTCTAGATATTCAAATCACACATGAATAAACATCTTCAACAGACACTTCTACAACAATAAAATGTAATGACTGAACCAAATTAGCATACTACAGCCTGTATAATGTGTATATACAAGTACAATAAAATGGGCACATACCATAATTACAATAGAACAGTACATACAGTATAACAGGCACATACCACAAGTACAATACATCAGAGCACACTACAAGTACTATATAACAGTGCACACCACAAGTACAATACAATAGTGCACACCATACAAGTACAATCCAATAGTACACACCATACAAGTACAATACAACAGTACACACCATACAAGTACAATACAACAGTACACACCATACAAGTACAATACAACAGTACACACCACAAGTACAATACAATAGTCTCAATGGCATCCGTCAGTCCCGGGGGACTATGGAGATGTGCCGCTGGCTTTGGGAACAGCATCTGCTATGACTGTAAAGTCCGATGCGGGAATGGCAGTCTTTGCCACACAGGATACACACAAAAGCAGATACTCCCTCGTTGTGAGGCAGTTTTAAACTGATTTTTCCAATGTCTCTGTGCCTATGTTGGTATCTATTAGGTCACGTTTGCATACATCTTTAAAGCGCAGCTTTAGCCTTCCTGTAGGTCTATTCCCAGTTACCAATTCACCATATAGGAGATCTTTTGGAATACAACCATCCTCCATGCGGGAGACATGTCCCAGCCAGCGCAGACGTCTTTGCTTCAGTATACAATACATTGATGGTATTTTTGCTCGTGAGCACACATTCGTTGGAGACAAGGTCTCGCCATAATATACCAAGGATGCGTCTCAGACAGCGCATATGGGTCTTTTTTCCTGTGGAGCATAGAGAGTCCAGGATTCGCAGCCGTACAGTAATGTGCTCAGGACACAAGACTCATAAACCCTTATTTTTGTATTATCAGTTAGCTTTTTGTTTGACCAGACTCTCTTTGTGAGATTTGCAAACATAGCAGAGGCCTTTCCTATACGTTTGTTTAGTTCTGCATCCAGAGAATGATTGCTTGAGATACGTGAGCCTAGGTACCCAAACTCATTTACAGCCAGCAGCTGATGGTCATACACACTAATGTTTGGTGGATTTCCAACATTCAATCCCATCACTTGTGTTTTGTTCAGACTGATGGTAAGCCCAAATTCTTTGCAAGCATTTGCAAAGCGATTCATCAGGATCTGCAGATCATCCTCTGAATGTGCCACAATGGCTGCATCATACGCAAACAGAAAATCCCTGAGGCATCTCGTGTGCACCTTCGTCCTTGCACGTAGCCTGGACAGATTAAAAAGATTGCCATCTGACCTCAAACGGAGGTATATCCCCTCAGTTGCTGTCCCAAATGCACGCCTCAATAATGCAGTAAAAAAGATGCCAAACAGTGTGGGAGCCAGAACACATCCTTGCTTTTCTCCATTTTGAATCTGGAAGGGTCGAGATGATGAATCCTCATATTATGGTCCCCCTCATATTCTCATGAAAGGATTTGATTAGGCTCAGTAGTATAGGTGGGCATCCATATTTTTCAAGGATCCCGAATAGACCATCTCTGCTGACATAGTCAAAGGCCTTAGTGAGATCTATGAAAGCAATGAGCAGAGGCCTCTGTTGCTCTCTGCACTTTTCTTGTTAACTGTTGATCTCTTGGCCCTAAACCCGCACTGTTATTCCAGGTATACTCTGTCCGCTAGAATTTGCAACCTCTTTAGGATAACACGAGCAAAAGACTTTTCCCACATAATTCAATAGAGAGATACAGCGATAGTTGTTGCAGTCGCTTCTATCTCCTTTATTTTTATAGAGAGTTACAATGTTGGCATCTCTCATATCCTGTGGCACCGATTTTTCTTGCCAACACTGACAGAGGATCTTGTGTAGCTCAGGAAGAATAGCATCCTTGGAGCATTTTAGGATCTCAGGTGGGATACCATCCTCTCCTGGGGCCTTACCTGAAGGAAGCCCATCTACTGGCCCCACCGATTTCTGTGACGGAGGGTTCCGTGTCTAGTTCACCCTTGGTTGGCAGACACTCCATTGCATTTAAGGCCTCTTCACATACAAAGGTGCTTGTAGCATATAGCTCTGAGTAGTGCTCCATCACAAGCACAATACAATAGTACACACCACAAGCACAATACAATAGTACACACCACAAGCACAATACAATAGTACACACCACAAGCACAATACAATAGTACACACCACAAGCACAATACAATAGTACACACCACAAGCACAATACAATAGTACACACCACAAGCACAATACAACAGTGCACTTCACAAGCACAACACAACAGTACACACCACACAAGTACAATACAACAGTACACACACCACACAAATACAACACAACAGTACATACCGCAAGCACAATATAACCATTTACACACCACAAGGACAATACAAGGGATACATACCACAACTTCAGTCCACGTGAATGCTGGGTTCTGGTCTTGAAACTCTGATATAAACTCATCATAGTGCATCTGGTACAGCTTGTCTGTGCTTCCCTCCAGATAATTCATGACAGTGAAATGTGTTTCATAATCGTCCAAGGAGTCCAAAGAGAAAGCCCTGAAATGAAGCATTTTATATAAATGAAAGACCTGCTACTGACATGCAAGTTCATAGAGGCAACACACCTGATGGTCAGATCAGAGCATTCAAAACCGAACGTAAAGAATAAGAAGCATTTTATATTCTCCCCTTACAGCCGAACCTCTTATAAGTAAATAATTATTATAAACTTATCATGGACTTGAAGAGTCAGAGAAACTGGAGTGTATACAGAATGAAGCTATGGGGGCGATCCTGGGACGTACAAGAGACACCCTAATTGCCGACTATTGCAGATAGACTAAAGGTGCTGCAGGCTAAGTCATACCTCAGAGTAGCTGCAGATAAAAAAAACACCCTCTGTATGAGGCTTTGGCTGCAGATAAGGGTCAGAGGCTGAAAAGGGGAAAATCGTGGATGGCTCAAGCAGAAGACAAGTATGCATGCTGGAGAACATTGGGCGAGGAGAGCAGTGGGTCAGAGTACCAGAGGAAAAATCTGACCTGGGTAGCATTATGATCACATTGGGTCGGGAGTGCAGAAAGAGGTCAGGGGGTGCTACGGAAGTGGAAGTCCAACAGTTATTTCACGACAATTCACGCCCAAGTGATCTGATTGTCTATACAGATGGTTCGGTGTTGAGAAAAAAGAGAAGTGCCAGGGGGATTGTAGCAAAGCCTATGGAAAATCTTTAGTGCAAGACAGCTTAGCATACGACATCACAACATGAGAATGGAGGTGGAGGCAGTAACTGCAGTTCTCCGGTGACAGTAGAGAAACAAGATTATTATGGCCTGGAGAGAATGAGGTACCTGAGTGTAGCCATAGAGTCCGACCGGTTCCCTACACTCAGAGAAAAGGCAAGACGGACATATAACCAGACTGACTGGTACAATTAGTACTGGAACTCTGCGCTGGCTGCTAAAGATAAGGACGGAGCAAACATAGAAATGCCCCAAGTGCTGTGATGTCTTTTGACTCAACTCAGCTTTTCTAAACTTTTGCTAAAAAACGCAGACTACATTTGTTCCACTTTTTTGTGTGTGCAATCAAATATGCAGGCAAACATTTTAAGCCAGCTGTCTGAAAATCATAAACTAAGACTGGAAGATTGACCTAGATTTCAAGTCTGTAGCTAGATTGTGTGTATAGTAGAAATCTGGCATGATCCATCATGGAAAAACTGGACAATGAACAAAATCTCCAGCTCTAGCCTGATCATACGGACTGGCAAAGCAAACTCTCCATGGTAAAGATGGGAGATATTAAAACGAACTACAGATGAGAACAATCAGCAGAGGTAGCTTGGGGTGGCTGATGCAGAGTAAAGTAAAGCTCAATGTGAGGTGACAATCAAAATAACATAACTTAATGTTAGTTGGGTCCTAATAAAATTTCTATCCTCTTGAGCATGGAAGTAATATGTAGAACACTGACTGATTAAGTTTATATAGCCATGTTGCAACATCTTCCGCGATCAGTAGTCTTGGATGAGGTATGTGTTCTTATCTTGCTCATGCAATGTTGCCAAGCCCTCCAGGTATTTAAATGTTCTTCCCCTGCCTTATGTGTAAATTTTATCAAATTTCAAGTTTAAACATTTTTCTTTATGACATGTTAATGTCACAAGATTATTTGATGGTCTGGAGTCACCCGGTGCACATGCCTTTTCTCAGCAGGTGAGCTGTTTCTATGGAACAACCACTGACAGGGTTTACCTGAAACTGTTGTCAGTTTAATTTTCTTAGCCATCTTTGAAGAAGGTGTGATACACAAATGTGGAAGTCACCATGGTGTAGTGGCTAGATGCTTGTCTGCAGATGAGAAGGTTGGGGGTTCGGTTCCTGGTAGAACCAAACATTTTTAAAAAGTGACTGGCTCCCAAGTTGACCCAGCCTTAAGTAGGTACCAGGTATAAATTCTGGGAAGTAAAGGTGGCCGGCGTGATGTTGACCACATCATCCACCAAGTGCTGATGATCTATAAAATAGAGGTCTAGCCCTCTATGACTAAAGGTGTGGAAAAGGGTCCTTTACTTTACTATGATACACACATTTACAAGCATTGTTTGGCACTCATGAAAGCACACACAGGTAGACAAGACAGAACACACTAGACAATGTACAAATCTAAAGCTGTCACTAACATGCTCTGACTCAAATTGGTCACCTCCAAATGATGCCAGTGCCCTGCTGCAGGACAATTAGACACCCTTAAATAAAAAGGCTCAGATCCATCATGCACTGAAGTATACTTCTTATGGTAGCAAATCCTATTATATTAAGATATGTATTCAAAACAATCCACTCTGCCTACTTTACATAAAATTAAATATAAGGAACAAAAAGACTACATACTTGTTAGAAAACCTCAGAAAGAACACCTCATAAGCATAAAGCTGCAGAGGTTCAACGCTGGTCAAAAGAACAATGAAGCGGAGGTCAAACTTGACAAAACTCCCAATGTCTGAACGAAAAAACAGAACTGGGTTCTCCACATACTTGCAGGCCACCTGAAAGATGTCAGAAAGCAAGAAGTGAAGTAAGCATAGTTATAGTTTTCATATTATCTTGTTCCCCATGTGGGTTCCAGGGCCCCACTGTGGGGACAACAAGAAAAGACCAACTGTTTCCCCAATAAGCATTTTGTATCGTAAGAGCCAACTAACTGGAGCCTTCCTTCAAAGTCAGAGTGCATCTGCCTGAGAGACAAGGAACCAACAGTCTGCATACAGATAAGTCAGATGTGTACAACAGATGTGCATGCAAAACTCAGGTTCTGGAACAAGACTAAAGTTCAGAGATAGATGAATACCCAGAACTTTCCAGCCGGTGAAGCAAAGAAGATATCTTGTATTTACATTAGGGTATATTGAAGACAATGTTAGGTCCCCATTTATTGTGATGGAATGACAAGAATATCTGCAGCTGCAAAACAATGCTTTTAACAGTCAAATATCTCCAGCTGTAAAGCATCAAAGCGCTTACAGTGACTTCTGGTCAAATGTGGTGGATAGGCAGCCAGCCATTTAAACCTCAAGTATTATTTTTGTTCTCGATATGGTTTGCTAATGCATTTTCTAGATATGGACTTCATTCTACACGCTTGTTGTCTAAGCTCCTGAGTTTGGTGGTGGAATGCCTTTCATCCATGCCTGAAGCGGTTGTGTTATATTTTGCATTAGATCCGGCTAAGTGCCTGATGTACTAATATTGTATGTGTACGACCAGCTTATTAGACTGACTACTTCCATCAATGACAAATAGTAGTTATCGCGGTAACTTAGTTCTGACACATCTAGTGACTGCCTTATGCATTTACTAAGTGTGAATGCTTCTGGATTTTGCCGGGACGAATTGTTTGCTCATTATTTTGTCAAATGGGACAGTGAAAGAAATTTTGTGTGATCACTGGCATAGTAATGGAGCAGTTACATGGTGACCCGTTTGTGAAGCTGAAGCCTTGAAAGCATAGTGGAGTAATATCTGTAGTTGTAAAACAGGAATGCTCTAACTGTGGAAGAACATCTCGCTATAAGCCCTAATCCTATACTAGATTTATCCAAATCTAAAATACCGAAAGAATTTACTAAAGAAAGAATACCAACATATGGTAACGTCACTTTATGATATTGCTGCATTCAGAGCTATAAAAGCAATCATATATTTCACAAATCCCAGATATGGGGATTCGCCATGGCATAACGGCTAGATACACATCTTCGGATCTGAAGTCGCAGGCTCAGGTCCTGACGGAGTCAAGACTTCTTAGGTTGGCCCAGCCTTAAATGGGTACCAGGTAAAGTCCTAGGAAGTAAACGTGGCCGGCGTGATGTTGACCACATCACCCATTGAAAGCCCACTGGTCCATAAAATACAGGTCTAGCCTTTAACGCCTGAAAGTGTAGAAAAAGACCTTTACCTAAAAGGTTTGATACTGTACACAAAATACCTTGGCTCCCAGGTGGAGCCAGCCTGCAATGGACAAAATGAAATGCCTTGGGAAGTAACGATACCTCATGTATTTGGACCAAGTGCCTATCAGTCTAACAAAAAAAAATAAGTCTAGTGCCCGATGTGCATTTGGCACCAAAAAGGGACTTTACTTACTGTACAAGCTTAAATTAGGTTTTACTTACTGTACAAGCTTAAATTAGGTTTTACTGCATCCACATAAATTAGGTTTTGAAAACGTTAATTGACAGTGTACATACCTTTGGTCCTGATTCATTAACCCGTATGATCCTATTGAGATTTTTGGTTACATGGGTATCAAGGCCACGAGCTAAGTTCCATGGCTTACAAATCCAATGGTTATCCAAGCCCCTAATGAAAGGACAATGACAAGACAGGTGTCAAACGTAAGGCCAATCATGACATGACAGTTGTTAGATGAATAATCATGACAAATTTTCAGACTAAAATATGACTAATCATGACAAGCTGTCAGATAAAACATGACAAATCTTGACAAGACAGTGGTCAGACAAACATGACTAATCATGAAATGAGAGATGTCAACTTATAACTAATCATGACAAGACAGTTGTCAGATAAACTTATAACTAATCATAAAGAAAGTTGTCAGACAACTTTATAACTAATCATGACACGACAATTGTCAGACAACCTTATAACTAAGACAGACTTATAATTAATTATAACAAGACAGTTGTCAACTAATCATGACAAGACAGTTGTCAGACAAACAACTAATCATGAAATGACAGTTGTCACACAAACTTATAACTAATCATGACAAAGAAAGTTATCAGACAACCTTATAACTAAAACAGTTGTCAAACTTATGACTAATCATGACATGACAGTTGTTTGACAAAATATGACTAATCATGACAAGAAAGCTTTCATACAAACATAAACTAATCAGGAAAAGACAGTTGTCAGTCAAACATGACTAATCATGACAAAACATCTGACAAACATGACATGACAGCTGACAAACATGACAAGACAGTGGTCAGACAGACACACGACTAATCAGATTAGTAGCATCTGTAGCAGTATTTCCCAACATCCCAACATGAGGCCTATCCCAACAGCGCTCATACCAGATGTCTCATGAGAGAGAATGCCTTGTGACACTATACCATGCAAGGCATAAACCAAAAGAGGAGACGGGCATAGTTCAAGGGTTAGACCATGAACATGATGTAAAGATAACACTAATTCAGTACAGTAGATGTTGCACCTTTGAGAGAAATATTAACTATTCTTTCACTGTGGTTACTGCCACCCCTCAGGTATTGTACAAAAATGATCTGGGCCTGAAAGAGTTAAAGAGAGCTATTCTTTCCTAAGACAGACCACAGTTCTGTAACTATGATGAATCGGCTGCTGTTCTACAACAAGCCAATACATCTGAGAAAGATAAGGCATTATTACACTAGTTAAACTCTGAACACCTCACCTTTTCTGTCTGTTCTGAAAATAGGAGACAAATTTGGACAATTCTGTGTTTAGGTTGTATGTTACAGGCAGCCATTTTGGATTTGATTTGAATGGGTCCTGATCTGTTTTAGCAGTGACTGCCGCTCGTCTGGCTGTAATTGCCAGCAAGTCCTTCACAGTCAGAACGTTTTCACATGGAAATTGATTGATCAAGCAGTTAGGCCTTGATTCACTAAATGTTCTGCAACAACAAAAACAATGATGGATGTCAAAACATTAAACAAAATATTTACTCATCCAAAGAACAAGACCACAGTGGTACTGTGGTCAATTTTCTTGCTTATCAAAACAGTAGCCAAAGTTCAATCCACAGCAGTCTTTTTTTGTGTGCAAACAAAACAGCTTTGGGGTTAAAACCTCATAATAATGTGTACCAGGCAATTTTTTATATTTTGTGAAGGGGGTAACAGAGGGAACAGCCATGATTTGAAGTTCTACCATATTAGTTAATCGACCAATCATCCTTAACGTAGACAAATCCAAAAGCACTTGGATCCCATCTTCAGTATTCCTGTCAGCATGTGGAGACATCAGTTTGTGTTGTTTACTGTTCTTTTGCTTCTTTTTTAGTATTCATTTCTGGCAACACTTTTTTGGACATGAAGTTCTTGTCTCAAAGTCGCAGATTTATCATCGAGAGAAAAGAACGGAGAGTAAAGAAAGACAGGAGAGGAAAAAAAAAGAAAACAGGTGAGAGGTGAAAGGGGGAGGGGGGGGGGGGGCATAAGAGGAAAAAAAGATAAAACAAGGGCAAAGAAGGAAAATGTGAAGGGAGGAGAAAAAAGAAAATAGGGTAAAGCTACATAGAGAGGTGAGGGAGAGAGAGGAAGAGAGGATGAGTACGAAAAAAAGGTGCTAAAGAGAGGACAGCAGATGGGAGAAAGTGGGCAGTAAGGTACAGTGAAATAGGGTAGAGGAAGAGAGAAAGGCGAGGAGGAGAGAGAGAGAGAGAGAAGATGAGCGATGCAGGGAATAAGAGAGTAGAAAAGTGAGGATGGAAAAGGAGAGATAGAGATGTGGGGGGTTAAGCCTGCATTAATATATATATATAGGCAGATAAGAGAGGCATAAAGATTGATAGACATAATGCACAGAGACAGAGAGAGATAGCCCCCAATCACTGACATATTATATTTGCAACAAAATGAGAAAAGAGGTGAGGGTGGGGGAATAGATTGTAAACTGGAGCCGCACTAAAAATAAATTTAGGAAATCAAACTGACCTCATACACACACACACACACACACACACACATATATATATATATATATATATATATATATATATATATATATATATATATATATATATATATATATATATATATATATATATATATATATATATATATATATATATATATATATATATATATACATATATATATATATATATATATATACACCAAATCAAATACATTGAATAAAGCCCCCTTTCACTGTCAATTTCCCAGTTACAGTGTGGACATTTCAAGGATTTTGTTTCCTTTTTATATAATATCTTGCTGTTTTTTTAAGGGGCTTGAGTCTAACTTATCATTCCTGGGTTTCTCCCGGTTTCAAGGTCATTTACAAGCCCTTATATACGGACCACCTGGTTATAAACTTACTAAACAGATTTTTTTTTTAAAACAGGTCGAAATTTTATTTGTGCACTTATTTTTATTACCCGTTTAGTTTTTTAGTCATAGCTTATCTTGTTAAGTTGTCTATTCTATTATCATACTATCAACTTATAGACATACCATCTGGTTATAAACAGACATATTACTTAAGACATAAAAATACTACTTACTTGAAGTCATGAAAATGTGAGCAGTACCAGAGAATATCAGCATCAAGGGGGTCAAAGACAATATCAAACCGCCCATCGGTCAGCTGCTCCCTCAGATCTTTGTAGTCAATGTACACCCTGAGATTTCTATCCCTTGGCAGACCTTCACACTCAAAGTCAGCTGATGGCCAGGTTTCATCCTGCCTGTAGCTCTGTTCACAGATAATTACAATTTTGGCATGAAATTGGAAAAAAAAAAAAAAACCACACACACACAAGAGACCAGTGGAAAAGTTAGATTAACCCTCTGGTTCCTTAAACCTTAGGAGAGAAAAAGGCACAGATCCCAGGAATTACAAGAAAGAAAAACCTCAAAAATAGCCATTTACACATGTTCCCACTTTTGCACCATAATTGGCAGAGTGGCTTTAACGTTTGATATCTGACTCACTAGGTAGTAGCAGCTGAGGTTTCAACTTCACTGCATAAGGTCATCCCATACATGCGAAATTCTTGTGCCAGTTAAAACATGAAAAGCCCTCACTATGGAATAATAATTCAATCCAGGAAAATCCAGAAATAAGCATATGCAGTAAATGCAAAAAAACTGCTTGAGATGCCAACACCAACAGTCACCACCAGAATTGCAATTAGTCAACAGAAGTTAGGAGTCAGTCACAATAAGTTAGTTGTCAGTCACAATAAGTTGGCCATAAACATCACTGGGTTAAGTCTGCTGATCAGCTACTTTGTATTTGCTGTGTTGAATCATGAACTTCAGGAGACCCATGTGTGCGAGAGGCAGAACAGAACCACCCCCCCCCCCAACAGAGGCAACCAATTATGGGCGTTTTCTTCCAGTCAAAGTGCATCTGCCTGAGATACATATCAAATAGTATTTACACAAATAAGCCAGATCTAGAAAAATGTGTATGCAAAATGTTTTAAAACAAGACTAAAGTCCAGAAGTGAACAAACAACCAGAACTTTCCAGAGTTTACAGCTGGTGAATGAGCAGAAAAATAAAAATGAGTCTTCCAGAGAAATCACAAAACAATCCTGTCCTATAAGAGCTGAGATGTTACCGGCAAAACATGACCAGAAATTATTTCTCCAGTATGTCCTTTTGTGAAACAATGCTATCATGATTTATACATACCATTTTCAATAAATTACTAATGATTGGTTGCCATTTATGGTTTCAGCTATGAACTCAGGTTCATAATTGCAACATGTCATGATCTATTCGAGACAAAGGTATGAGTGCTGACCATTTAGGGCAGCATCTATGTGAACATTTATTTTAAAATTACCTAGTAAAAATACACAAAAACTAAACACTGCTGGACTGGTTTGCAATGTCCAGAAAAACGATACATAAATAACTTTTAAAAATAGTGTCTTATTAACTTTCATAAACACATAAGACATGCAAAAATGAATAGCAAACAAAAGCCCATTCAATATAACACAGAGGAACAAAACACTGGGCAGCAGACCTGGAAATAGGAAACATCTGGCTCCACTTGAGTAAAGCTAATATCTGTCATGTCTTGGGGCATCCAAGGAATGAGGCGTGCACTGCGCTTGGCAGGATCAAGTTCTCCATCCACAAAGTCCCTTGTTGCTTCATCTATGATCACACAACAAATAACTGACTGAACAAAGAATGTAGTTACAATTAGTGCGATGGGTATTCTTTCTTTAAATCTAAAGTATTTTTTTTGGCCAGTTAATCATTTGCTGTATCTAAAATGGAAGTTGGTTGTACAGAGCAACACTATCGCACACACCAATTTTACTCATCTACAGATACTGTTTCCACTTTAACACTACTTACCTCTCGCTCACAAGCCTTTTCCCTACAGGTTCATCTCTTAAAATAAGTAAAATATTTCACTTGCCGTAACTATTTCTTTTACAAGACTTTTTTTTAAACTCCAGAAACTATTTATTGTTTCCATGAAATATAACAGTCTGTATACTCAAGATACCCAGAATTAGATTTTCTAATCATATCTTTATCAATGTTTTTTGTGGCGTATATATAGTAGTATTGGATCAGCATAACTTTTGATAATCTCATTTTGAATGTACTGTTTACATGTCTAGATATTTTTTTCCCATGTTGCTGAAAATATCTGGCAGCATCGTGATAAAGGTGACAGTGGTGACATGAGCTTCCATGTAGCTTCCATGAATCAAAGGGCTATTCCAACATGTGTGTACTGAGGGATTCTATGAGCAAGATCCAATTGGCAGAGGCAGGCTGCGTATGCAGACACAGGATTGAGTCACTGCAAAACACTGCATTTAGACACCATCTTTGTTCTGAGTCATGCATTGGGAATAAAAGAGCTGACAGCTTAGCCTGCCCACCACTATTGCAGAGGCCAGCCTATGGATTGCATCAACACTGTTAATGCCCTCAGAAAAATAAGATGATTGATGGATTCTGGGAGCAGCACATTCACATCACTGTTTAGAATGATACAACTGGGAGTAAAGGTCAACACAGCAAAGTACAAGAAGCACACCAAACATACAAGAACTCTTGTCAAACAGCACAGGACTGGCAATATTAACCACAGAACGCCGATGTATATCCTGAAGGGAAATCTGAGCACCTATGGATGTGCACAGGGTTCCATGAAGATCACCTAACTCATACCTTTGGTCATTCCCATTTTTTGTCCCTTTAATTTCTATGATTTGTCTAAAATAAAAATACACCACTGGAAAACCTCACACTTCAAATCTAAAAAAAAACAGCCAGTCACAAGTCAAATATAACTAAAATGTAATTAAAAAGAAGGTAAAAAGACATGTAGGTAAATGCAGGCATGAATACTGTATAACGATTCCATTCATATAAAACCCAGCCAATAGTATGAAAATAGTTATTGTTTGTAAAGCATATTTTCCCTGCACTTAAATTTAGAAATCTTGTTAACCAGCTCCAACAGAAAAAGAATACCTTCTGGCGTATGGGATAGACAAAGAAAAAGGTCACTGAAATGAACACATAAGGTCATATCTATAACTACAGCGACATTCCTCCATTTACCCCTAGAATGTTAACTCTGGTACCCATGACCTAGAGGCTGGGTGAACCCTGGGAAACGCCTGGTGGCTGCTGTGAGTCCCAGCTGAATTTGAAAGCGAGTCTTCTATTGACTGCGCTAATGCGGTCACCCGCTCACTGATATTTAAACTAACTTAACTGCCCTAATTCCATACATACCACCATTTTCCACTTCCATAATTGGCCACATGATGGAGTATGCGATGCCAGCACCCGTATAGAAAAATGGGACAACCCGAAAGTTGGGTGTGTCTGAGTGTTGGATACGACTCCCAAATTCATCCATAATATACCACTTGGGCTTGGCAGCTTCAGAACCCTGAGGTGAGAGTACACATTTTAATCAGTCATTTTAAAGTGTAGTTTTAATTATAATATTTCCATTTTAGCATTACCAGTGAAAGCTCGAGAGAAGTGAGAAGGGACACATGTTAAATGCAATCAAAGACAAATGCCTGGGAAAATTTAACATTAAATGTGACGAATTTCAGAAAGGTGAAAAATGTATGGACAACTTAGACAAAGAAGGTTGTGCTACATTGTGCACACCCTGAGAAAAATGATGTCCGACAGTTTGGTACTAGATTTTTTTCTTGAAAGAAATGTGAGAAATGCAGTTTGTCACCTCATTCCCTATGTAAAGTGAATATAAAGGTCATACATTACACATTCATTCTACAGTAGCTGTGATAAATTTACCTTTGCTATCATCTAACAGCAATGCAAGTCTATTAAAACTGAAACAAGGTAAGTACTGCAGCCTTCAGTTAGCTTGAAAACCAGCTGTACACAAATGTCCAAACTGTAACAACTTCTTTGTTCACCAGCTGCAAGCTTTGGCGTAAAGTCCTGGTTGTTCGTCCATCTGGACTTAGGCTTTGTGCCAGGGCCTGTTTTGTTTGTACATCCCACTTCCTTGCCTATTTGTGTGGAGTTGGTTGTTCCTTGTCGCTCGGGCAGATGCACCCCGAATGTGAAGAAAATAATTTAACTGACCGACACAGCATGTGGAGAAAGGTGGAGACAGGCATGCACCATGCATAGTGGTAAGCATCGCTGCAGAGGACCCAGGTAGTCAGCATCTTTTGGATATTTCTTCCAGGTCATGCTGGTGTTTTGAGAAACGAACAGACAGCAATACTGGCTAGTTCTGCCTGCAATACTTGGTGATAAACTGATGCAGGAAAAGCTAGATGTTGTAAGGGTCCCTTGGGAGTTGAGAGTACAGTGCAGAGTCACAACCAGATCACCATGATCGAAAGAGAATAGTGCTGCAAGGGGTGACCCAAAAATTAAGCGGACATTCAACACTTAAGGAAAAGTTTATTTAACCCGCACCATCGGAACAGGAACTTTGTCCTTGCCGCTGAAGATGGGGATGGAACACCTATGGGAATGTCCCAAGTGTTGTGATATCAAGTCTTAATTCACAGCAAAGACGTTTTAAGTTCAGTATCAAAACAGATTTGTTCAATTCTGTATTTCTCTATAAACACCATATTAATACTGCTTACAGCTGTGATATGCATTTTTAAACAATTAATCTTCTAAAGTCTGAAGAAGAAGTTTCTGTTTATACAGAGCAATGTTATTGTTATTCAACATATAGTCAGTCAGGCCTGTAGTAAGCATAAATCAGTAAAAGTGCTGGTAGCATTATATCTGTTATTTCAGCATAAGAAAAGTAAACATACTGTGAACTTGGGAAAAAGCACAATGGCTAGATCCTTGCCTGCCAGCATTATGCTTACATAAAGGGCCGGGTTGCTTGTCACAGGCTATGTTTCCCATGTGGGTTCTGAGGGTCTCTTGTGAAAGGGATTGGGGCATGGGGGGTAAGGACCTGAGAGGCAAGGAACCAGTCAAACAGATGTGCAAGCAAAACTCTGGAGCAAGACCAAAGTTGACAAGTGGACAAACAACCTGAATTTTCAACCAGTTTACAGCCGGTGAAAGTGAAGAAGATGAAGAGGCTATGTCAATAACACAGCAATTATAAAAAAATTATAGTACCAGTCTCCATGCCAATGTCATTGAATATGTGTTGCTAACTTCCCATTTGTATAGACAAGCCAACAACTATACCGGTGAAGTGGATAGCTCTCATGCTGTAGAAACACTGAAAACAATGGGTTATGTATGACCTCCTCAGAATTTCATTAAAAAATCCAAACAACCTCTGGCCTCAAAACTCTTATCTTAGAAAACGTATTGGGTGACAGAGCATGAACCAACGGTATCCCTCATGAGGCTCATGGAAAAATGTGATGTCAACTTGGCTTTAAAAAAAAAGCCAACAGCATTAACTTTATGTCCTGTAAAGAGGTCACAGACAAGTTGGAAAAGTTACATTTTTGAGAAATTGGAGCCAACCGGAATTGTCAGTTCTTCTTGGAAAGGGTTAATATATCATGCTAGCCGTATTTATTTCCCATGTTGTCTAGTTGCCAATTTAGACTGGGAAGTAAAGGTGACCAGCATGATGCTAACCACATCACCTAATGCCAAATGTCTAGCAACAAATTCCCAATGTGCCTCTGGCATGAAAAGGATCCTTTACCATTAAAAAAAAAACAGTTTTGCTAAATATAATCTACACACTTACCAAATCAAAGTTTCCAAAACTGTAGGTCTGGTTGAAGCTGAAATGAAGAATTTATCAAGGAGGTTTCTTTTTAAAATATATATACACAAGTCAAATACAGTAAACAAATGTATAAGTGTCTTAGCCAAACTAATCCAGGCACTGAGTTGTGTAATACCATTTAAATTATTGCACTAAGTTACATAACACATTAACTTATGGAGTTGAGAGGCACCATAACTATTACCCAACCCACACTGGACAGCAGGTTAATGTGTAACCATCAGGTTCCCCAAAGTAAGTCTCATAAGGCTAACAGAGTTTCTGGGGTTTTCTCCTGCTGGATTCACACATGAATATCGACTGGGAAAAAAAAGGGGGAGGGGGTGCCTCTTAAAGTGTTCAGTGGCTGTAAGCTGCAATAAACCAGTACATGGTTATTCATCCACTCCTGGACTTTTGCATGCACATCCACTTTACAGAACTGGCTGATTGATATGTTACGTTCAGTAGTTTGTCACTGCTTACTGAATGGTCAGCTCTCGGTACCACTGTCGAACCCAACGCAAGGCAAATTGTAAGCAGCTGGGATTGAACCCAGCACCCCGGCATTACGAAGTGCGTTCGCAACTCCTAAGCCACACTCGCCGACAGTAAACATCTAAAATGACATATTCCTGTAACATCACCTCTGATAATGTCTTTGCTTTTCCAGACATTAAATACCTGAAAACTACTAATTAAAAGAAGTCCATCTAATGCAACAAGGCAATTGTAGATGCTGTCATGTGGTTATTTCATGAAAGGACATATATATACAAGGTTCTGTGTACTTAGTTGGGCAATAAGTTGCCTTCATTACAGCCTGCCCTACCCTAAGATGTCTACGCTGCCTATTTTCAGAGGTTATGTTGACTCTAGAGCTGTAAGAAATCAGAAGAAAAAAAAAACCTTAACTGGGGATTAAAGCATGGTGTGCACTGATAAGACAGGCAACGATCCATTCAGCCACTAATACTTCTTCAAAACAATGTTTTCCTGTATTACATTTAAATAATGCGAACACACAAAAAGCAGTAAACAATTTATTGCCAGGCATATTTCACCTTATCTCGTCAGGTGCATTACTACAGCGTGAAATCATAAGTGTTCGTCTAGTCACCAGGAAGTTCACTGTAGTCAAGTGACTTACCAGGGTAACAACTTCAAATTTACAATGAATTCCGCCTGCTTACAAATTGTAATTGTTAAAGCTTCCGCCATTCTCAACAGTCGCCTGTTCGGTGTGTGGTAAATCACACAAAGCACTGTCCTTGTCAATTATGTGTCCGAAATAAATATCCTAAAGAAGAAGTGATATCCCCGGATCTTTTCTCTTGACTAGTCAGAAAAACCCTTGAAGAATACCTGAACTGTGTATGTAGCCATTTGGGTATATGCTCAGCCACACTATTTCGAAGCTGTCTCTGTTGACCGATGTAAGTCAACAGGCACCTACATGTAAATTGATAAATACAATTGGATTTGGTGTACGGAGACACAAGCTCATTAACAGGTGGAGTTGGGACAAGAGTGGTCTTGTACCTCACTACTGGAAACGTGGCAAAGAAGGTTTGGCCAACAGCTGTCTTTAATCTAATACTACTAATACTATTCTTTTTGGTGTTCTGTCACTACTATCTGTATGGTCCAGTTTTTAATGGCGCTGTAGACAGGGTGTCGTGAGCCTGAGGATTTAGGCTTGCACGGCTAGTGCTGTCACCACAGACTATACAGGTTAGGATGTTCAATTCGGCTCCCAACAGAAAACACCTTACCGTAAGTCAAACTCAGGTCTCCATCAAGAAAGTCTGATGTAACCACTCGGCCAGCCGCTCCTCTTCTTGGTGTACACAGGCTGTAAACTCCAGCGGAAAGTTCTGGCTTTTCGTTGCCCACTTCTATAGATGTGGCTTATTTGTAGACACACTGTTGGTTCCCCTTTCAGGCAGATGCACTCTGACTTTAAAGGAAACGTCCCCAATTAGCCGACTTTTACAACATGCTTGTTAGGAAGGCAGTGTGTTAATTTATTATTATCCACGATGGGCCCAAGAACCCACACAAGAAGAGCCACTAATAAAGGAAAATCATGTGCTGTGGAAAAACTTACCACCACATTTTGTCCAAAATTGCTTCTATCTGCTCCTCCATGCTCGAGCCAGCAGGTTCCAAATTCATCAAATTCACCATCCTCTCCACAAGGCCAGGAACAGCGTCTAGGGCTGCCCGCATGTCCTCAATCTGGTAGGTCCATGCATGGTCAATGAGGTAGATGCTGAATGAGGAAACATGTTAGATTTAACTAGCCTAGCCTTTCATGCAGACAGCATGATCTGAACCAACACCAGGTATGTATTCAAAATAATAGGGAGGGGGGATTGAGCACAAAAGATCCTAAGACTTGTTTTGGTGAATAATAATAATAATCATGAGCTGAAGAGCAAGCAATTATAATAGTAACATATATAAACATATTCTTAAGAAGAGAACCTCTATTCACGGTTTTAGAGGAGGGGTATGTATGTGTATAGACCAGTTCAAGTTGTCTTTGTGCCTCTGATCAGCATATATATTGTGTTAATGTGTGTGACCATTCACTTTCTTAGTTTTAAATTGTATCACCGTAAATGAATGTTAAGCCCTTATCCTGCGGTAGGTACCGCCGTGTGTGCATGTGAAAGTGTTTGTGGTTTGTGTGTGTATGAATATATTTATCCTGGGTTTTTCTTTTAATATCTGACAATTTAAATTTGTCCTAGTCCTAGCCAAGATGTTTTAAGTTCACTCTGGAGGCTATAGGTGGTAATGCCATCTTCTAAGACAGTGGTTTTCAACCTGTGAGTATGACCCCTTTCATAGGGGTCGCCTAAGACCAAGTAAAAACACATATTCACTGAAGATATAAAGTAGCAAGACAATTTTATGATTGGGGTCAGCACAAAACGAGGAACTGTATTAAAGGGTCGTGGCATTAGGAAGGTTGAGAACCACTTCTATAAGATAATGCTCGACCCTAACGAGCTCGAGTGGTGAATGACTTTATTCAGAAACATGGGATAATGAGGACCGCACGGCCAGCTCATTCACCTGACCTTTCTCTGACTCAGCACCTCTGGGAAGTCCTTGGTTGAAGACTGTCAACAAATCACCCTCTGCTAATGGATACACAGGTGACTACTTCAGGAATGGCAAGCTGTTCCTTAGGATACTCTTCAGACCCTTGTGGACTTGACGATTCTATGCTGTCTTGAATGTCTAATTGTCCTTTAAAAAGGTGGGTGCTGCATTTCACAGCTTAATTGTATTTGAATGCACATTTCCTTTCTTTACATGGCATGTCAACTTGGTATTAAATAAATGCCATTTTCACCTATATTATGTTTAATGATTTCAACCAAGGTTTCCTTGATTTTTGATGAGTAGTATATTCTAAGTGTGAATGTACGCATATGCAATAATAAACTGCTGAAATATGTCAAACTGCAACAATACAATTTTTAAAAGCCAAGAGAATAGACTTCATTGAGCTGGGTTTTATTCTAGATGGCTGTCTCTCTCCACAGAACAGCTAGCCAACTGCCGTTTGAGTTGCTTAAAGCACAAACACTGTAGCTCTGGTGACAACGCTAGGGGTCTCAAAGTCAGAGGATCAGCAAAGTGAACAATGCAGACAAATAGTGAAAATTGCAGCGATCACATTAGCCACCCTAAGTTATCGTATGCTTACTGTTGAGGGTCATCAAGTTTAATTGGTCGAGATGAGGTGCACATGACTCGCCAGCCACCAAAAACGCTGTCATTTGCTGCATCAGGGTCGATCTGCATCTCAAATATCATCCCTGCATCATACAGCTGTGTGGTTTCAAATAAGATTTTCTTTTTATCAAGAGAAGTATGAAGTGTTCAAAACAAATGAACTATGTTCAAGAAGATCTCCAGCCTCAGTTCTTACCCAACATACATCTACTTTTAGTGGAAGAGTGGAAATTATATGAGAGAGTGCTAATTATTCTTCTTCCACCTTTTATACCCTAATGGAGCATATTCACTCAACCAACTCTTGCCAAGTTGACCTATCTTTCGCTATTATGTGCAGCTCACTCTGTACCCTTCCCATCCTCTTCATTTCTGATTCCTTTCATGTCTATGTGGTCTGCATTTATTTGTACTAACAAATTTTATTATGATTTTTCTTGCAACCTACCAGTATCTTTCATGATCCATATTGGAAGAGCCAAATATGTTAATGAAAATGTATGCAGAACACAGAAGCGCACCTCTTCATTAATTATTTGGCTACAAAATGCACCTAATCTGGCACTAAACTCCTACTGCTGCTTCTATTAGTCTCTGAAACTCCAAGTTAACAACACTGGTTGTTTGTGCTAGTGCAGTGTTTAGGGACCCAGGATCATTACATTTACTACACATAGCATTTTGTGGGGTTTGTGAAATAACTGGCATGTTAGCCATGCCCTAATTCGTCTCTAGTAAACTCTGTCAAAGATCATAGCATGAATACTTTAGGCTCAAGGTTTAATTCTCCACTTTGCTCATGTCTATTGATCACTACTCTTTATATACAATCCCCCCCCCCCCCCCCCAATACACTACAGGTTTTATAAGGATTATCTACTTCAGATATGTTAAATTATGAAAACACTAAATAAAAACCCAAACAAATTTGGAAAGAGCACACGTGGAAGCAAACAATACAGAGGAACATTTTTAATATGCCCTCACCTCTATATACAAATATTAATGCTCTGTGGAGTTGAGGGAATTTTTCCTCAGCTTATAGTGTGGGTAAGAACTGTGACAAAATGGAAATCTTCCAGAGCTTAAATGCAACTAGTTAAACAAAACATTAAAAGGATAATTGAGGAAAGATAATATTTACAATAAACAGAGCTGGTAACCTTGTGGTAATTATTACTGTAGTGTCAATGGCAGATTTCACAAATTTGTGGAAGCATCACTAACTGCAACTAGCTCCCCAGCTAGCATCCAGACCTGACATCCTAGCAGGCGCATGCTATCAATCAATATATGCATGACCTTCCTTCTCAAACATGAATATGATCATTAAATGTAGATAAACATATCCGTGTGCAGAGTTATTCTTGATACGAAAACTGTTAACATTTTTTTAAAAATTGGCTCTCGCAATAATACAGAATAATAATTCCAATGTTATTCTAGAATGCACAATCACTTCTGTGTGGGTTCAATAGGCCAGGATGGGAATATAGTAGCTAAAAAGCATGAAGCTGGGTTTCCTTATGACCCTAATGACAATGGCTTTTTGAAAGCAAATTAACAAGTTTCTAGTAAACTTCAGTGAAATGTCATGGCACCAGTGACTGCATCACCCAATAGAAAAAAAAATAGTAATCTGTGTTATGGGTTTACAGCTTTATTCCCCACAATCATGTGGCAAAAATGCTACTTTAATCCTTTTGGAGATGACTGGGTTAATCTATCAGGAAAACAGTAGAATGGCGCCAAAAAAACAAAAACAAAACCACAGGCCTATCCGTCAACCCTGATAAAAACCTCAAGATTGGCTAGTCTTCATAATAGTCATTCAGATTGTTTCAAGCACTTCTTGCACATCTGAGCATTTTAAAGCCACCAGTGCATCGATCTTTGTGTGCGTTTCAAGTGAGCGTTGTGAAATTTCACAATCACAGACAGCGGCACTGAAGATACTATCATTAGTGAGCCTGATTTTTCCCAGCCTAGCAGTGATCACTGAAAATGAAACAACTGCAAGAAATAATGGATATAATCCTAACGGAAAGTGAAGACAAGGGTCTTAGTCTGAACAGCAGAAAAACAGTAATGGTAATTACAAAGAAAACTGACCCTTCAAAATGCAACATCAAAGTAAATGGGACAAACCTAGAGAGAGCTGATATGTTTAAGTACCTGGGTACCTTGATAACATCAGATGGAAGATGTATTAAAGAAGAAGAAAAATGCTGACATCTCTCAAGCAAAGGCAGCATTTTACAAAATTAAGAATATTTTATGCAATGTTTCTTTGTCAATTGAGATGAGAAAATTCTTTATAGCTATATAAATCCTATCTTGAATTACGGAAATGAATCATGGACAGTTGGTAAATTGTCGAAAACTTATTTGGAAGCTGCCGAAATGTTTTATAGAGGAATGATGAGAATAGCATTGGAGCAGGTTAACCAGTACAAATACCTTGAGTTGTATTAGACAGATCCAGAGGCATTAAGACTGAGCTGGCTACACGAAAAGCAGCTGCTGGAAGACTTTTGTGACTTGTCCACTCCGTATTTGCACTGCAGCCAAGAGAGTGAACTCCGACTAAGCGACCGTCGCCCTTCCAGCTAGCGACCCTTATTTAAAGGAGAGCCCACATACTACTTTTGGCTCTCCTGTAAACTACGGCCGGTAGACAACAGTACACGGCCGGTTAGTCGGAGTTCTGTCCCTTGGCTACAGTGCAATTACGGAGTGGAAAAAGAGGGATTGAAACAACTGACACAATTCTGTGTGTTGGCGATAGACAAGACAGCGTGCACTGCCCTGCTATAATCATACGGTTACGGTTTGAGTTAGAGTTAGGGTTTGGGTTAGGTTTGGGTTAGAGTTAGGGTTAGGCTCAGCTAGCCACCGCAACCACGCAAGCTTATCGCTCATTAAGGCATACAGGTCCGGAGGTGTCACATCTACGGCCACTAAGTCTTGCGTTGCAAGAACGTGGCTGCTAATGTGAGTCGCGGCACGTGGTCTAGGTCTAGCAGCCATGTCGACGTCACTTTGTGTTGTGATTCATGCCTTGTCCACTCCGTAATTGCACTGACTGTAGCCAAGGGACAGAACTCCGACTAACCGGCCGCGTCTACTGTTGTCTACCTGCCGTAGTTGACAGGAGAGCCCTACTTTTTTGTTTGTGATCAAGTTAAGCAAATCCCGGTACTCCTGTCAAATCCGGACGAAGACTAAAAAGCCTTGGACGACTTAGAGTTCTCTCCCTTGGCCGCATTGCGAACAGTGATCGGAAAAGCCAACGAAACAAAGAAGACAGTCACGTCGACATCAGGGCTGCCAATGCTTGGTTGTTTCCCCCAGATCTGGTTTTTTTTTTGACGTTGCAGGACAATTCTGTTTTTTTTTTTTTTTGGGTGTGTTGTGTTTGTTGGTTTTTGCCGATTTGTATGCTTTAATGATCGATAAATTTGCGTGGTTAGGGGTAGGGATTATGGCTAGGGAGTAGGATTAGGATTAGGGTTAGCGGTAGGGTTAAGTTTAGCGTTAGATTTGACAATTTTGACGCCGGAGTTCCCTATAATCGCGCACAGTCCCATACACACACAAACAATCTAGGGCCTCTGGATGCTGGTCAAACGCACGCTATTGGCGTCATATTTGGCAGAGTTTCAGTGGCGCCACTCCCACAAACATCAGATTGTCGGCCAGTATTTCGAAATCCTACGTCAAAATTTTCACATCTAACCCTAACCCTACCCCTAACTAAACCCTAACCCTAACTGTAACCCTACCCCTAACTCTAACCCTACCCCTAACTCAAACCCAAACACTACGCATCCCTACACTCAACCGTATGATGACTACGCATCCCTTCACGATGCCTCACGCAACCGTACGCACCCCTGCACCCAACCGTATGATGACTACGCATCCCTTCACGATGCCTCACGCAACCCTACACGCAACCGTATGATGTGTGTCGTTTGTTTCGTTGGCTTTTCCGATCACTGTTTGCAGTGCGCCCAAGGGAGAGAACTCTTAAGTCGTCCAAAGCTTTTTATTCTTAGTCCGGATTTGATAGGGACTACAGTTTCGACAATTTGCGATCTTTTCGGCAATTTCCGTTACCCGGAAACCGTTCAGAACTTGTTCGGGAAATCTCGGCTGGTTTCCGGATGGGTCCAAATCTCATGAAAATTCGTGATTGGTGGGAATTTGGACCAGCTATAAATAGCTGGAAACAGCGTGGGGGAACCCGATTAACAGCGCATGTCTACGACAGCCGGACTCCTCTGTTTTTCTGTTAGTCATCAGTTTGATTGAAAATAGCGGTAAATTCGAGGTTGGCTTTAGGCCTTAAACATTACCAGTTGTGGTAATGCTAGTTACAGTTGAATTCTCCGTCCAATTTTACATTTGCATAAATAAATTTCTTTCCCGACTTTCGCTGTTTAGATTTACAGTGACATTTTTTAGGCAATCGCATGCGGCTGAGTCTCACTGCCTGCCATCTTGTCCAATGACAGTCCAATGTCAACAAAGCCGATACAGAACTGCGCAGTAGGTTGCGCAGTGAAAAACTTCTTGTTTCTGGGTCACAAGTTTTAGCGGCTGTTTCTTACATCTCATCTCCACAAAAACCTACATATCTCAGCTCAGAAATGACATACAAGCCTAAATGAGGTATCATTGGAAAGAGATTGTTTACAGCTATCTAAATGTGCTGGTTTTATTGGTGTAGAGGGCATTTTAAAAATTTGACTGAAGTACCTAGATTTGACAGGAGAGCCCAAATCCCCTCCACCGGGCTCCGCCTCAAACCGTCTTCTTTGCTAAGGAACTCTGAAAAGTTGAAAAGTAAAGTGTAAAGCTTCTCCAAAGGGTTGTTAAAAAAAAAAAAAAGTAAGTTAATCATTATCGTGGATGCCAGCGCCATGTCCTCGCCAAGTTGATTCACAGACTGTTTAGTTCTCTCTTTTCTGTTTCTTACCTCTGTTTTGAGTTTGACAAACAAATTTTCCCAGTAGATTTCTGGCACTCCTGATGCTCTGAGCTGGTGAACATGAATTTCGATAAAAGTTTCATAATTTAACAAATGTGAGGCCATTTCACAAACTACAGAACTGGTGACGAACAGAATGAGAAGTCTTAAGTGATAACTTGTGGTCTGCTAGGTGCTAACGCAGTGAGAACACGCTTTTCTACAAACCGGAAGTAAACAATCAACAAGTAGAAGCACGGAGTCTGCATTATTAACGTTCACCTGTTATTTATACTTTCTCGTGGTATTTTTAAAAAAAAAATCTTTTTCTACATATTTATTTGTTTACAGAATTGAGTTCAGAGATCTCCTACCGTTCCATCCACCTAGGAGATGTAGATACATCAAGATAATCATTTTTGTAGCGGTGGAAATTATAACCATTATCAAGTACCTTGCCGACTGGCGATTAGATCGTGCAATCTTGCGATCGACAATATGTATTAGTGCATTTGCATATATCTTTCTTCGTAATTATAGAAGGTCGCCAAGAAGCTTTTCTTGTTGTCTTTCCGTAAATCTTCTTCTATTACTCTTTCTAGTTTCACAGTATGTTACAACTTTTCACATCTCATGATATGGCAAAACATAATCCCTCATTTATTGATTTGTGATAAACTCGTGTGGGCTCTCCACAAACCCACTTCATCACGCATATACATCTATCTGCAACAGACTGCGATTACTACCAGTTTTAACAATTTTCCTAGTGCGATAGAGGTAGCAGGCGTGGGGGTGGGGGTGGAGGGAGGGATGCATACGTACATAGGCTATCCTCCGAACTTCGGGCCGCAAAATGTTCTTTCAAGCCTCAGTCACGTGACTTAATTTGTGGTTTTCCGGGGACTACCGCTCACGCGGCGTGGACTGTGGCTAAACTAGATGGCTAGAACTCACGAGCAAAGCTGCAGGAGATGGTGAAGCTGCTGCTCGTGGGTCCTAGACATCTAGTTTAGCCCCAATCCACGCCACGTGAGCGGCGTGAGGTACTCGCGGCGGTGGCGGTAGTCGACGGAAACCCGCAAATTAAGTCGCCGGAAAACCGCAAATTAAGTCACGTGACTGAGGCTCGAAAGGATATTTTGCGGCCGCCATCTTTTGTGCCCGAAGTTCGGAGGATAGCCCATACATCTATCGCTTTATTTTCTCTTTAAAATACAAAGCATAACCTGTCATTTTCTTGCGAGATGCAATTTGTCGTTATTTTGAAGCCCCACCCTGGCTCTCGCCAAGGGCCGCAATATAGCCCGACCATAAATATGGTCTTAAGGCTGAACACGGTTTCTGGGACCTCTCCACGGTAGATCCTCATCCACATGGTGGCACTTTGTTTCATCGGGTGTTTATCGCTTGTGTGATGTCCTGGTGGGGTAAAAATCTACTACTACTACTTTATTTTCTCTTGATGAGTTAGGGCTATTTGGCTAATGCAACGCCACGGACTAGTCCAAGTCCTTTTGAGAAAAAAAATTAAAAGGTCGACAACTTTCAGGCTGCTGCTAGCTAGCCGAGGCTGCTAACAGTCTCCGCCTCTATTTGTGGTCTGGGTTATTTGTGTAACTTTCGTGACTAAATTCTAGTATTGCGCTATTTCTTGGCTTGATGCTTCCATCCTGTTCCGACCGCTCGTCCTGCGCCGTTGTTAGCTGTTTGTTTCTTTTCTTATCTGGTGTCGTCTCTATCTCTCTCTCTGATTTGGCCAGGCGTATCTCGTAGGAAAGCGAGCTTTTCCACACAACGTCCTTTGGACCACCATTTATAGTTTTAAAATTTTGAGTATTTTATTTTGCCAAAAAGTACTGAAAACAGTTTTTGAATTTGAATAGTTCCGAAATGTGAAAAATTTCTGCGTGTAACCATAGTGGTCTTATAGTTGTCTTCCTGTAATAAAAACGGGTTAGTCATGTGATGGATATGTGAGTGAAAGGTCGTGTGGATCCTCAAGCCGGTCCAGTCGTCATTTTTTAGTGTGTGATCGGGTTGTGTTGACAGCTAAGCTCCGGTGTACGTAAATACCATATAACCGGAACATCCATCTCACTCTTTGAGATCCAAATGTTCGGCGATGAGAATTGCTGTGGCATGTTGGGTAATGAACTCAAGAGCTCTCTGTGGGAATGGGTTGGGGGGGGGGGGAGGTTAAACTCATAGTGCATCCGAAAGAGTTAGGGAAGGGTGAGGGGAAAGGGGCGGGAGGCCAGTCAGTCATTTCTCGTAGTTGCCGTCTTGCTGGATTCTAGCGTGGCCTTTTGCCGGGACTATGTGTATCACGTTACCAACCTTTGCTATCATCCCAATGATGGGGTGGTATTGGTGGTTATGTATTCTAGTCCTGTCAGTATCGAGTCACTTGTTTTCCCTAATTGCTATCAGTCATATCTTGTTGTGAGTCCTACTGGTCATGTGCATGTTGTATGTATGGTGTGGAATGGGATGGTTTTGTGTATGAATCCCCAGAGTATATGGACGCACACAACTAAGTGTATGCGTACATGCACTCGAGTATTCATACACGCAGACAACACTACATGTTTGCACGTCCTGTCAAACTTATCGGTGTATGAATACCTAATTGACATTAAGTACACACACAAACTCTTTCATATGCGTCTACCAATGCCTATACTTGCATTCATAAAAAACGAGCAAATCCACACGTAAGGACATTCACTCTTCCATGTCTTGTGTATTTTTGTGTCGCTATGTCTGTAATATCGTCTGGTCGTGTCACTTTTAAGTTATGTCCCGTTACTGGTATGTGATCTGTCCGGTACTGTCTCAGAATGTTCTGGTGGATGGTGTATGTTGATGACGTTCTTGCTGCGTACACACTTCATTCCATTTGTTCTCATTAATTAAAGCCATGCAGCGACACAATTTATGAGTTTTTTGAGTGCACTGTCATTCATACACACACAAATATATAAATATACACGCTCCCATATATATACACACATGTACACTCATACACACATATACATGCATACAGCCATACAATTCTATATCCAAGTACTCATTCATCTGTACCTTTCGCACAGCTATATTTCCACTGTCATGTCCATACGTGATCCCTTGCCACCCGCCTACATACATCTTGTCTTATGTATCCATCCTAAAATAAATGCACCCATACTACACTCACTCATCCTTGTGTATGCATCCATGTTCACATCTATGCACTCATCACACTTACACTACATGCCTTACGCTAGGGTGTCCGGAGTCACCATCTGATCAGTTCCTTCTGCTGTCCTGAGTTGTATCTTCAACATGGTCTTTTTAGTTTTGGTTTGTTTTTATTATTAGGTACTGTTTAACAAGTTTTTGGATGTCTTTATTGCTATCCACCTTTAAACATTTGTTTGCAGTAATCTGTTGTTTGCGTTTTAGAAAATACTTCTCAATGGGTTTCCTCTCTAATTTGTATTTAGCGCAGTTTATCATATAACGTTCTATTGTATTATCTTGAAAGCAGTCCAGACATACTGGAGATGTAAATTTCTCAGGATGCCACCCTATCCTAGCTCTTCATAGTAGTTTGTTAGCTAGGATTTTCAGTTTATCCCCGACCTGTGTATTAAGGCTGGGCTCTTTAAGGTCGTTGTATGAATCTCTGCCTTTAGTGCTCCATTACCATTGGAGTTTCCACATTTTAATTATATGTCGTTTGATTATGCTATTCCTTTCAGTTTTTCCGAGTCGTACACCTACTAAAACATCACATTTAGCTCCCTTTTTGGCTGCTTGGTCAGCTTTTTCATTGCCTATTACACCTCTATGTGCTGGTACCCATGCAATGGTGACTTGGCATCCTTTATTCTTGAGTTGGGTTGTTAGATTTAGGATCGTTTCTTTAATATCTGGTCTACTGCTAGTTTTATGTGTTTTTAAAGTCTGCACTGAAGACAATGAATCTGTCAGTATGGTAAATTTAGTTGGAGGTTTATTTATTACCATCTCTAGTGCCTTCATAATGCCGACTAGTTCTGCTGTGCATGCTGCCACATGATCTGTTATTTTATATTCTCTTTGCATATTCCACTGTGGGATTATTACTCCTGCTCCTACTTATCCTGCTTCATTCTTAGACCCGTCAGTGTATGCAACCAGATTGTCTGATCGGATCTGGTCTATGTATTCTTCTGTTATTGTTTTTGCCTCAAATGTTTCAGTATTCTTATTAATAATTTTCATCAGACTCATGTCTGTCCTGGGCAACCTAACGCTTGCCTCTAGAGTCCTAGCCAAGTCCTCATTATCGTTAATTTCTAGTGCAGCGTCCCAGGCTGCTGGTCTCAGTATATCTCTGATCGGTCTGTCACCTAGGTGGGTAATGTTATGATGAAAAGCGTTTGAAGCTGGGTGTCTGGTATCGTTGGCCGCTTTCACCCAATAGCTATAAGTTAGTTGCTTCCTTCTGAGGTTAAGCGGTGTGATGCCTAGTGCTACCTTCATGGCCTCTCTCGATGCCCATGATGGAGGTCAGAGCTTGGCACTGAATCCTATCAAGTTTGCATTTGCTGTTCTATGATGCTGATTCATATACCACGTTTCCGTATTCCATTTTGTTTCTAACGAAGGCTTTATAAAATTGTATTAGGGTGTCCTGGTGTGTTCCCCATCCGTTTCCTTTAATCATTCTCAGCATATAATTGTACTTTTTGCACTTTACTACCAGTTCATCGATGTATTTGGCCCAGGTCAATTGCTCATCTAGAATCATTCCTAGAAATTTCGTCGAACGTGTCCGTCGAACTGTTCTACCATTAATTTGGAGTCTCGTTTCTTCAGGGTCATAATTAGGCTGTCTTTTAAAGTTAAATATCATGCTTACTGTTTTGTCGACGTTGATTTTAAATCCCCATTTTCCCATCAAATGTACTACTTCGTTTAGACTTTTCTGTAGTCTTTTCTTAGCGAAGGGGATCTGATTATGGCTGTGGTAAATTGCACAATCGTCCTCAAATTGAGTTAGTCCTGTGTCCTTGTTTGTAATGGCTTCATCAAGGTAGCCACGTACAGGCTTGGATTATATTTTGACACTTCGGCTGTCCACGGAATCTTAG